TTATGCCTCATCCTGATGTCGAAAATTGAGACAGTTATTTTTCGATGCATGTTGTATGCATCGTGAAAAAATATAGGGCATGAAAGTCTTATATATTTGTCTTTGTCCTTCATCTCGGTAAAAAATGGTTATATTTACAAGATGATTATGTTTGTCTACAAATGATGAAAGAGGTATGTCATCTTCATATGCGTCATCCTGATATCGAAAAATTAAGACGGTTATTATTAGATGCATGTTGTAGTCATCGTGAAGAAATATAGGGCATGAAAGTCCTATATATTTGCCTTTGTCCCCAATCTCGGTAAAAATTGGTTGTATTTACATGATGATGCTTTTTGTCGACAAATGATGAAAGAGGTATACGATATTCTTATGCCTCATCTTGAAGTCAAAAAATTGAGACAATTATTGTTAAATGCATGTTGTATGCATCGTGAAAAAATATAGGGCATAAAAGTCCTATATATTTGCCTTTGTCCCTCATTTCGATAAAAATTGGTTGTATTTACATGATGATTACTTTTGTCGACAAATGATGAAAGAGGTATACGATCTTCTTTTGCATCGTCCTGATGTTGGAAAATTGAGACGGTTATTTTTAGATGCATGTTGTATGCATCGTGAAAAAATATAGCGCATGAAAGTGCTATATATTTGCTTTTCTCCCTCATCTCGATAAAAATTGGTTGTATATACATGATGAATATTTTTGTCAACAAATGATGAAAGATGTATACGATCTTCGTATGCCTCATCCTGATGTTGAAAAATTGAGATGAATATTATTAGATGCATGTTGTATGCATCGTGAAAAAATGTAGGGCATGAAAGTCCTATATATTTGTCTTTGTCCCTCATCTCGGTAAAAATTGGTTGTATTTATATGATGATTATGTTGGTCGACAAATGATGAAAGAGGTATACGATTTTTCTTATGCCTCATCCTGATGTCAAAAAATTGAGACGGTTATTATTAGATGCATGTTGTAGTCATCGTGAAAAAATATAGGGTATGAAAGTCCTATATATTTGCCTTTGTCCCTCATCTCGGTAAAAATTGGTTGTATTTACATGATAATTATTTTGGTCGACAAATGATGAAAGAGGTATACGATCTTTTTATGCATCATCCTAATGTTAAAAAATTGAGACGGTTGTTTTTAGATGCATGTTGTATTTATCGTGAAAAATATAGGGCATGAAAGTGCTATATATTTGCCTTTGACTCTCATCTCGGTAAAAATTGGTTGCATTTACATGTGATTATTTTTGCCGAAAAATGATGAAAGAGGTATACAATCTTCTTATGTCTGATCCTGATGTCCAAAAATTGAGACGGTTATTATTAGATGCATGTTGTATGCATCGTGGAAAAATATAAGACATGAAAGTCCTATATATTTGTCCTTGTTTCTCATCTCGGTAAAAATTGCTTGTATACACATGATGACTATTTTTGTCGACAAATGATGAAAGAGGTATATGATCTTCTAATGTCTCATCCTGATGTCGAAATATTGAGACGGTTATCATTAGATGCATGTTGCATTCATCGTGAAAAAATATAGGGCATGAAAGTCCTATACATTTGACAGTAGAATACACAATCAGGTATACTGCACAACATTTTTTTTTTCATGGCTTGGGACATGAATTATCTCTGTTCCATTCATTAAATTTGCATCACAACACAACATAAAACTTTAATTGAAAAATGACTTTGGTCGTATGTTAGGACGTTTATGTTTAGTAATTTGTATTTATGTTGTTTGCTGAAGGCTGATCTATTGTTTTCTTTAGTATAAATAACTTCTGGTATGAAAATTCCTTTTAATTAAAAAAGATGGGGAGTACAAAAGTAAAGGTACAGAGTTGGTGAGCACAAGGCATCATCTGTCTAAAAAAAATGATGATTATTTTTGTCGACAAATGATGAAAGAGGTATACGATTTTCTTATGCCTCATCCTGATGTCGATAAATTGAGACAGTTATTATTATATGCATGTTGTATGCATCATGAAAAAATATAGGGCTTGAAAGTCCTATATATTTGCCTTTGTCCCTTGATCTCGGTAAAAATTAGTTGGATTTACATGATGATGCTTTTTGTCGACAAATGATAAAAGAGATATACGATCTTCTTATGCCTAATCCTGATGTCAAAAAATTGAGACGTTTATTATTATATGCATGTTGTATGCATTTTGAAAAAATATAAGGCATGAAAGTCCTATATATTTGACTTTGTCCCTCATCTCGGTAAAAATTGGTTGAATTTACATGATTATTTTTGTCGACAAATGATGAAAGAGGTATACGATTTTCTTATGCCTCATTCTGATGTCAAAAAATTAAGATGGTTATTATTAGATACATATTGTAGTTATCGTAGAAAAATATAGGGCATTAAAGTCCTATATATTTTCCTTTGTCCCTCATGTCGGTAAAAATTTGTTATATTTACATGATGATTATTTTTGTCAACAAATGATGATAGAAGTATACGATCTTTTTTTGCCTGATCCTGATGTCAAAAAATTGAGACGGTTATTATTAGATGCATGTTGTATGCATCGTGAAAAAATATAGGGCATGAAAGTCCTATATATTTGCCTTTGTCGCTCATCTCGGTAAAAAATAGTTCTATTTACATGATGATTATTTTTGTCGACAAATGATGAAAGAGGTATATGATCTTCTTATGCCTCATCCTGATGTCGAAAAATTGAGACGGTTATCCTTATATAGGGCATGAAAGTCCTATACATTTGACAGTAGAATACACAATCAGGTATACTGCACAACATTTTTTTTTTCATGGCTTGGGACATGAATTATCTCTGTTCCATTCATTAAATTTGCATCACAACACAACATAAAACTTTAATTGAAAAATGACTTTGGTCGTATGTTAGGACGTTTATGTTTAGTAATTTGTATTTATGTTGTTTGCTGAAGGCTGATCTATTGTTTTCTTTAGTATAAATAACTTCTGGTATGAAAATTCCTTTTAATTAAAAAAGATGGGGAGTACAAAAGTAAAGGTACAGAGTTGGTGAGCACAAGGCATCATCTGTCTAAAAAAAATGATGATTATTTTTGTCGACAAATGATGAAAGAGGTATACGATTTTCTTATGCCTCATCCTGATGTCGATAAATTGAGACAGTTATTATTATATGCATGTTGTATGCATCATGAAAAAATATAGGGCTTGAAAGTCCTATATATTTGCCTTTGTCCCTTGATCTCGGTAAAAATTAGTTGGATTTACATGATGATGCTTTTTGTCGACAAATGATAAAAGAGATATACGATCTTCTTATGCCTAATCCTGATGTCAAAAAATTGAGACGTTTATTATTATATGCATGTTGTATGCATTTTGAAAAAATATAAGGCATGAAAGTCCTATATATTTGACTTTGTCCCTCATCTCGGTAAAAATTGGTTGAATTTACATGATTATTTTTGTCGACAAATGATGAAAGAGGTATACGATTTTCTTATGCCTCATTCTGATGTCAAAAAATTAAGATGGTTATTATTAGATACATATTGTAGTTATCGTAGAAAAATATAGGGCATTAAAGTCCTATATATTTTCCTTTGTCCCTCATGTCGGTAAAAATTTGTTATATTTACATGATGATTATTTTTGTCAACAAATGATGATAGAAGTATACGATCTTTTTTTGCCTGATCCTGATGTCAAAAAATTGAGACGGTTATTATTAGATGCATGTTGTATGCATCGTGAAAAAATATAGGGCATGAAAGTCCTATATATTTGCCTTTGTCGCTCATCTCGGTAAAAAATAGTTCTATTTACATGATGATTATTTTTGTCGACAAATGATGAAAGAGGTATATGATCTTCTTATGCCTCATCCTGATGTCGAAAAATTGAGACGGTTATCCTTAGATGCATGTTGTATGCATCGTGAAAAAATATAGGACATGAAAGTCCTATATATTTGTCTTTATCCTTCATCTCGGTAAAAATTGGTTGTATTATTTACATGATGATTATTTTTGTCAACAAATGATTAAAGAGGTATACGATCTGATTATTCTAAGGACTATTTCTAAAAGCCATTTGTCTTTCTTATACAATTGCAACTTTATGAATTACTGTAAATTAATACTCATCTCATGTAACCAATTCTTAAAGAAAACCATTTTTTGCATAAAAATATTTTTATCACCTCACCCTCTTAATAATTCTTTTGGTGCTATGTTTTCTAGACTCAAAATACTTTTCATGAACCACAAAAGGAAGTGAGGTATGCAACCAAAAGACATAAATAAGAATTAGGTTGACCAAGAAAATTTGGAGTCTAGCTCCTTACAATAGAGGTAAAATCCTAAAATGAAAACTTTAAAACAAAAAACATGCACATAGATACAGTAGCTATGAAGATCCTAAAGTGCTCCATCACTTTATCTTTCCTCTTCCTAGCATTTTGGTGTTATACAAGAATTCTATTCTTTTTTTCACTCCAAGTATACCAGATAGCTTGGTTTTTTATTCACAAATTTCTCTCAACATATATTACCCCTTATTCCTCCTTTGGCTTTCATACACTTGCAACCTAGTAAGCCCACTCCTCTTCCAAGCATAATATAATATATATATATATATATATATGTGTGTGTGTGTATATATAACAATGATTGACCACTGTGAAACAGGATAACACTCAAGTCAAAAAATATTTCAGCCACAACCTTAAACCATATACCTTCAACCATATACCCATCATCATTGACTTAGCTTGTCAAATACATGCTTCAAAAAATATACATTTCTTGTAATCAGTTTTGGATTTCTATTCGCAACCACAGGCTATTTCAACTTCATACTATATATTTTTATGATCATTCTTTTCACATCACAAGTTTAACAAATGCTGAAACAATATAATTATAATAGAAGTTTTAAGCATTAATAGGCTGCAAGATTTAAATAAAATCAGGGCTAAATTAGCCTCACCTTTCATGCATTCCATCTCATCTCCCTTCACAACTCTGTCAATTATTGTTTGGTTCAAATTTTTGGGGAACCAAATTCCTATCCTGTAAAAAGCAAACAATGCATCAAGGAAGTAAAAGTTCCAAGTTCAATTCTCATCCTAAAAAGAGCAAGGAGTGTAAAATTAAACACACATAAAAGACAAGAAGAAAAAGCTAGCAAATGGCTATTAATATCTAAGAATTAATATTGATAAAAAAAATTAAGGAAATTTTGTAATGAATGGCATTAGAAACAGATCTGGCTTAACTCACTCCCAAAAGGCCAACTCAAGGGAAGATGATTGACAAATTGCGATAAGGAGTAGTCTAGCCATATTCCTAGCCAATGTAGGGCTTTTAACAAACACATCTTACACCTAGAACTACACATCTAGTATATCCTATTTGAAGGAGTGAAAATTTTCAAGTGGTCCAATACTAGCTTCAGGGAAGAGGATTGTCCAAGTCTTGAAAGGAATGTTCTAGCCATGTTCTTAGCTTGAGTGGGATACAAAAAAAGGTTTTAAACAAAATTCATATATTTGATTTTGGGTTGATAAATTGATTTTGAGTTGAAGGACTTTAGGTAGCTTTTGTTTTCGATAAAAATATTATACTAAATTTTCCTACTAACTTCCTTTTAAAAAAAGGTCAAAAAATAAATCACATTCCTTTAAGGAAAAAATTGGATTAAAATATTATAATAATTAGTAATAATTATTATAGTTTTACAATAGTATAAAATAAATTGTTACTAAATATAAATTAAAAAAAATGTATAAAACAATTATCGAAATAAAAGCAAAAACTCAATATATATAATAAAAATAATGAAAATAATTAGATTAAAATAATTTAACAATTATTAATGAAAATTAATTATCGATTTCATCTTAAATTTATTAGTTTTAATAATATTTTTATATTTTGAGTGGATAGTATTTGTTAAATTTTTTTTAATTATTTTCTTTCTTTTGTTGTTTTTAGTGGATAATATATTTTTCTATATCTTCAAATAATTTAGGGATGTTAAGTAATGAATAATATTTTATCTACTAATTTCATTAAATTTTTATTATATCAGTTTTAATTCATATTTTTAAGATATATAAAATATTTGTAATAAAATAATAAAAATATTAATAAATGATTGACATTTAAAAAAAAATAATTAAGCTCTAATTGATGAAAATAAATAAATAAAACTATTAATAAAATGAATTTATTGATAGAATTGCTAGGTTTTAAACATAAGAAATGCCCAAGATTAGCCTGGTATAAACATTACAAGATTAGCATAAAGGCAATACATCTTCAGCATTCTAAAAAACATGAAAAAAAAAACAGAGAAAATTAAAACAAAACAGATGAGCAATGCAATTCAGTATGATTTATAAATAATTTTAACAAAAAATTGTGTATGCTCCAATTCCCCTTAATGGATAGATGATACTACGTTCAAGTTAAATTTAGAAATGGCAAGAAAATCATTATGGAATTTGGCACGTACCTAGGACAACTAAAATAGTGTAATCTTGTGAGACATCAGGTGGGATCTCAAGCCTTTTTCACTTCAAGCCAACAGCTGCCATAACCAATAGGAAAACATGCATGAGTATTTAAGTAAAATAATAAATATGAAGTATAAACTTATAATATGTGAAGAGAAATTTTGGAGTTTGCTCCTTACAATAGAGGTAAACCGCCTAAAAAAACAACTGTAGAACAAAAAACAAATGCACATAGATGCAGCAAATATGCAGAACCTTTATCTTTCCTCCTCTAGTTCCATCACTTCATCTTACCTCTTCCTTCCATTTTGGTTTTATACTAGTATATCCTATTTGTAGGAGTGAACATTTTCAAGTGGTCCAATACTAGCTTGAGTGGGATACAAAATAAGATTTTAAACAAAATTCATATATTTGATTTTGGGTTGATAAATTGATTTTCAGTTGAAGGAACTTTAGGTAGCTTTTGTTTTCTATAAAAATATTATACTAAATTTTCCTACTAACTTCCTTTTAAATAAAAGGTCAAAAAATAAATCACATTGCTTTAAATTTAATTTTTGAATAAAATCAATTTTGCAAAGACTTGCTATTACATTTTACCAAGAGATAAGTTGCATTCAAGCACTCAATCTATTTTACCATTTACCAAAGAACAAACTCTTTTTATCAAGTCCTAACTCTTGAAGACGCATATCAACACAAGGTATTTGAACAACCAGCCAAGCTTGGTAGTTTTAATAATTTTGTACCATACAAACCTAATTTTATACAATAGAAATTTTTCTCAACTCAAGATAAAATATCAAGCTCTCCAACAGAAAATCTATACAATGGAAAGAGCAAGGAAAATTGAAAACAGACTTCTGAAAAGCATTTTTAAACAGAGTTAAGACACTATATAGCATAGCAAACAACTTCAAAACAGAAAATGAGTGAAAATTGAAAACAAACATTTCTAAACAGAGTTAAGACACACTATATGGAATAGCAAACAACTTCAAAACAGAAAATGAGTTTACTTTTACAGTCATTTATTTTTATAGAGACACATATTAATTGTTTTTCTTATGACCCTTTCTTGCAACCAGATAACTGATTTCCTTTACATTTTTCTCTGCTTCAATTTATAGCTACCTAACTAGTTAACTACTTAAAAAAATTCCTTATAGGGCCTAGGTAATGACGGTTAGATCACTTGATTACTTGGGTGACTATCCCCTATGAAATAATGTTCTACATCAAACCTTCAGGCTTAGTTTTGGACCAGGCCTAGATATATTGGCTCTCGTTTAATTGTGATTGATCTTTCATTCTTGTGAGAATCTGCCAACAAAGTCATCCTGATAGAGTTGAAGAAATGGCTAGGAGAAGCAAAGGGAGCATGGGCCGAGCAGTTGCCCGAGGTACTTTGGGCCTACCGATGCACGCCTCAGTCAACCACACAAGAGACCCCCTTCCGATTAGTATATGGATCCGACATAATGCTCCTAGTAGAAATTGGAGAACCATCATTTCGTCGAGCCCACTTCGACGAGTCGAACAACGAAGCCGAGCTCCGAGCAAACCTGGACGTTGTAGAAGAAATCTGAGACCGAGCCCTGGTAGTGGCCGAGGCCACCAAGCAGCGCTACAAGAGAAGATTCGACAATAAGGTGAAGCCTAGAGAATTTCGCGAAGGAGATCTTGTTTGGAGAGTCACAAGCGAAGCAAGAAAAGATCCGAGACAAGGAAAACTTGCCCCAAATTGGGACGGACCCTTCCAAGTGCGACACAACCTAAACAATGGAGCATACAAGCTGGAGTAACTACAGAGAACCAATTCCGAGAACTTTGAACTCCTCGCATGTGAAAGTGTATTACAGCTGATGTAATAGTGCACTCTTTTCCTTGACCGATTCTTTTTTCCCTAAGGAGGGTTTTGGGTCGGCAAGGTTTTTAACGAGGCACTTCATTAATAAAATTTTCAAATTTCATCATACCGTTTGCTGTTTTATTGTATGTCTAGGCCGCGTTCATGCAAATCCACTCGTATAAGCCGACGTCGAGTAATCCTCGGCCGATCACTCAAAGTGCTCTCGAGCCCTACAGGTTTCCCTCCCAAGTACCCTCCTCGACTAAGGATGTACCTAGGCCGAGCACTACAACGCATGCAGACACCGAGCAACCCTCGGGCCAACCATACACAGGCGCATTCGAGTACCCTCCTCGTCTAAGGATGTATCTAGGCCGAGCACTATGCACGAAGGCGACGACGCCGACCAATACTTGGCCGACGACGAAAAGTGCACTCGCGCCCAACAGGTTTCCCCCCCAAGTACCCTCTTCGACTAGGGATGTACCTAGGCCGAGTACTACGCATGAACGCGATGACGCTGAGCAATACTTGGCCAACGGCGAAAAGTGCAATCGCGCCCGACAGGTTTCCCTCCCGAGTACCCTCCTCGGCTAAGGATGTACCTAGGCTGAGCACTACGCATTAATGCAACGACACCGAGCAACCCTCGGTCATTCAAACTAGTACATTCGAGCAATTCTCGTCCAATTACTTAAAACACGAAATCTCGACCAAACATACTCAAACCGAACACTCACGAAAACCGTTCACTCTCGCGCAAACAAACACAATACGCATCAATCATCAACATAAATCGCGAAATTTACCCCCTCGGCCATACATACAAGTCGGTCTATGTCTACATTACTAAGCGCTTATAAACATGCGAAAAATTAGAAAGCAAAATATCATTGAAAAAGTATGGCCGACCAGAGCGGCTACTTACAAAAAAAAAAAAAAATTATCCAC